TCCCTTCTGCGGTCGGGCAAAACAGGTAATATAGGTAGTGATCATATTTAGTCTCCCCCAAAAAAGTAAAAAACAACGTAGAACGAACAGCAGTAAAGCAACAATAACTAAAATCAATCCTTGTGAATGACCTCCTTTTTTCCCAATGAGGGGTGCAACTGGAGGGTACCATGTTTAACATCACACAACTAATGTCAGCACATGGGAGCACTAAATGCGTATACTCACGCAAAGGTAGAGTCTCGAAAGCCTGCTCCGTCCCGTGAAGCAAGTGGTGTTAAGCCAGAAGATACTGGAGTACATAACGATCACGGCCGTGAAGTATGTGGCATGTCCTGAAACTCAGAGTCGCCTCGTAGCCAGGTGCTGGTTGAAAGCCGGTGGTAGTCCTGAAGAAATGTCATCTCTCAGGCTTTTTTCTTCCTTGGGGGGCTCTTGGAAGGTGAAGCAGGGTAGGGATCAGATTAGGCCATCAAGAAAGCCTTGGCCTGGTCAGCAGAGAGAAACGATTCCGTGGTGTCTCTTGGAGTAGAAATGCGCAGGACGGCAGGGTATGCCAGTGAGAATTTGATACCGCGTTCCACCAGCATGCTGCAAACCTCAGAGAATGACTTTCTTTGCTTAGTGAGAGCCACCGAATAGTCTGCAAAAAGTAGCAGTTTTTGGCCTTCTACCATCAGTGTGCATTGTGCCCGGAAGGCCTGCAGTATTTGTTTACAGTCCGCAAAATCTAGGTATCGTACAATCACAGGTCTGGGCCTGTCAGCTGCCCTTCGCACACCTACTCTGTGGGCCCTTTCAACTCTGCATGTGTTTAGGAGGCCCAGGGCCTTCGGTATGGCAGTGGAGCATAGTCGAATGAGATCTGTGTGGGGGGCTGTTTCCGGAAGGCCTATGACCCGCAGATTGTTCCTCCTCGATCTGTTTTCAAGATCATCGACCTTTTCCAGTAATTGTTGGATGGAGGAGTTAGCGTGTTCACATGATCTCTGCGTGGCCTGCATCTTGTCTTCCAGATCACTCACTCTATGCTCCGCTGCCTGGATGCTGTTAGTATGTGTGTCGAGCGTGGCCTTGAGTGGGCCCAGATGTTGCTGGATGGCGTCCCTCACTATATCTCTCATGTCGGCTTTAAGGTAAGCTGCCACTGCTGCGGCTATGCCTTGGTGATCAGGGTTAAGTAAGTGGGTTGACGAGGGCTCACCTTCGGTATCGCCGCCAGACGATGCCAGCATGTCATCCTCATCCGCCATCTTGGCTGGGTCCGATGTGTCCGCAGTCGGTGGTAAAATGGCTCGTTTCGGCTGGTTCGGACGGGATATAAATTTGTCCATATCAGCGGGGATAGTAGTCCGGTTCGTCTAGGCTATTTGTGATGAGATAGAGGCCGGTCGGTGTGATCGATTCTGTAACGGGACGGAGCGGTGTTGCACGCGTCTATCTCATTTTTCTTTTTTTTTTTATCATTTGTTAAAAATTATTTACTAGAAACCCCATCACAAGAGAAGTAGAAGGTCTGCCATTTCTAATCTCCTTCTGAAAATGCTTGATCTCTGCTTTTGATGCTGATCCAAAGCGTTAAGACTTTCGCAGTCCCAGTATGCAGAGCAGATGATCGGACTTCCCTTGCTGCATACTATTCTGAAATCTGTTAAAGCAAAATCTGAATGCAAATTTTAGAATTGTCACTAGAAAAAGAGGTGTAACCAATGCCAACATGTCAAGGCTAAGGTAAGGTGACAATTTTAACATATAAAAAACATTTTTTTTTTAATAAAACATCCCCATGATCCGCTATGCTAATAGCGTATCTTCTCAGAAGCTGCACACAGCGCGCCGGTTTAGTTTTACTTTAATGTCACTTTAACCACTTCGAGGCCGCAGTACGTCTATAGACTGTGGCCCGCAGAAGTGGTTAAAACAAGAACACGGCTGCTCTTGGTACTGCTTTTAACAGCAGGCGATTGCTGTATGACTTACAACCAATCGCCTGCTGAGGACTACAAATCTCGGCAGTACTTTATACAGAAATGCTATTGTTATATAAAGTATTGCAGGGATGTGTAGTCCTCTATAGCCTGTGCCATTCTGTATTGCTGTAAATATTAGGGCTGCACCATATATTGGCCGCCAAAACATATTAACCGAAAATGGCACTTTTGGCATAATGCCGAAAGTGCAATTTTTCTGCTGATACAGCGGTGCATCCGTGCTTTCTTTTTTCCCCGCTGGACGCTGCTCCGTCTCCCAGCGGGGAGGAGAGAAAGTGACAGCCGGCCAAGTGCTGCAGAAGGAGAGTGCTGTGTTTGTGGGTTTTTTTTGGGGGGAGGGGGCCCCCCCCCCAAAAAAAAATAATCTTGCACCAGGGCCCTTTGTTCCTTAGCTCCGCCACTGAAAGTAATTAACATGCTACATCCTGTTCAAAACTATCAGGGTGCATGGCCAATGCTGGCAGATGGTATAAATCCAAAGTAGAAATAGTCAGCGCTAAATAATGAATGCAGCCCGTCTGCACCAATTTCTGAAACATACTGCGTCATTTTCCAGACCACTGCCAACTCCAGCACCAAATTCAAGCATTTCTTATTTGCACCGTATTTCATTCTTGCGCTGTGCTTGTAACATATTCAATAAAGTCTGACATTTTGGTAATAAGAACAGTGATGCAACGTAAGACCAAGTCCTTTTTAGCATAACTAGTCTGTTGCATGTTCATATTGTATATGTCTGTAACAGTATGCAACACATACCTCAGGTGCCAACTGAAATCTGTCTCAGACACATATGCGACACATCTATGTACTTTATCAATGTGCATAAACCTGTCCCAAAGTTTGTCTCGCAAGCCAGCACCAGTTTCATAGGTTTGTGCCACATTTATGAAAGCAATGCATATGCGGCCTTGTATGTGAATTTGCTGCATATAATGACACTTTTCTTCTGTGTTTGTTTTAATTACACTCTTTTTGAATTCCCCTGCATGTATTAAAAGCAGAGGGGTTGGTAGCATATATCTTTTCAACAAATCTATGTGGAACCTACACTGCTTTGTTAAGGTCCCCACACACCTTACGATAATCGTACGATAATCGCAGGAAATCCCGCGATCGTACGATCATGGTAAGGTGTGTGGAAGCCGTGCGACCTCTACTACTGTAAGGTGGCACGACTTTAAACTTACGAACATGTTTCAAAACCCGCCGAGCATCGTACGATGTTCGGCGGGTCTGTAGCGTGTTCGTAAGATAAAAGCCGGACGGGCCGGTGTGCGCAAGCGCACACTGCCCGTTCGGCATTGCGGTCCTCGGAAGCCCGCCCCTCAGGGGGCGTGGCTTGCGTTCATCGCAAGTACGATCTGCCTATGCAAGATAGGCAGATCGTACGTTTTTTAAGTACCTTACAACCATCGCAAGACAAAAGTCTTGCGATGGTTGTAAGGTGTGTGCCCAGCCTTAGATTAGGGACCATACTGTACAGACTGGCATTGATGGGGCTGTGTGGGTTCCACATAGATTTGCTGCAAATTAAATATATGCTACTAACGCCTATGATTTTAATACATGTTGTTTAAAGGAGAAGTATGGGGAGAGTAAAATACGCTGATCCCCATAGTTAGAGCCGTGTGACACTGAAGCTTTCACAAGTTGGGTCTTTTGACCCAACTAAGCGGTCACATACCGCTAATCACTCAGCGCAGGCATCTTCTTCCTACAAAAAGCAGTGAGTGTCAGTCACCACTCCCCCACAAGGATTCCCCCTCCCCTCTCCGTTCCTCCAGCCCTGACTGGAGGAATAGAGGGAGGAGGGGGCGGGTACAGCTGGCTCTGCTTCTAGAAAGGCAGAGCCAGCTGTCAATCAGGCGGTGGGTTAATCTTGACAATATTGTCAGGATTTTTCCCGGCTGCAGTGCGGCTCTGTGCTGTAGCCTGCTATATGCTGAATTTTAGGTTACAGGAGGACATTAGTAAATGTCCTCCTGTGACCCTATAGAGATCTACGGCCAAAAAAAGTTTTTTCCATAGTTCTCTTTTAAGGAATGACACTGTTGGCCACTCACCCTACTACACTGATTTTTGGCAATGGTGCCTTACAGGATGTCGAATGTTAGCAATAACAACTTGACAAGTATTCTAACCACTTACCACCTATCTAAATCTAAAATAAAAGTTTTGGCTTTAGATTATCAGGACACCTGTACTGGTTACAACTAAGAGGGGCAGCAAGAAATAGACTTAAGGTGCCCACACACCTTGCGATAATCGTGGGAAATCCCGCGATCGTACGATTATCGTAAGGTGTGTGGAAGCCGTGCGACCTCTACTACTGTAAGATCGCACGACTTTTATCTTACGAACATGGTCAAAAAACCGACGAGAATCGTACGATGTTCGGCAGGTGTGTAGCATGCTCGTAAGATAAAAGCCGGACGGGCCGGTGTTAATTACCTTACAACCATCGCAAGACAAAAGTCTTGCGATGGTTGTAAGGTGTGTGCCCAGCCTTACAGGGGTTTTATCCCCTCCCCACTCTACCTAAAACTAAAAAAAGTTTTGGCTTCACATACACTTTGACTGATTTTTACTGTTTTTCAAAAAAAATAATAAATTACTAATTTCTAATTGTAAATTAGATAATTTCTCTCCAAATATAAGTTTTATGTAAAATAATATCTTAATATCTATTAATCTTAGATAAATGTTCATATAATAGCATGCAGATGGTGTTCGAAATGTGGTCTCAAAGTACTTTCAGCTCCTTGCCAGGGATGTGTGCTTGTTTGTATCATGACCACATCTGCTGCAAGAGGTGCTGATTGCTTTTGATTCTATCAACCACAAAGAACTGGCATCAAAAGGAACTTCCCAGGTAATCTTAACACAATCACAGTTTTCAAATATCACATGATCAGTCGATGAATGTGCCCTATCTGTTCCATTACTGGATAAAAAAATAATAATAATTTGATTTGACTCATTCTTTGTCTTGCTGTTTTTTCGCAGTTGGGTAAAGAAGGAAGAGCCAGAACCATGGTATAAATGAGGTCCGGACCTCTGAAGGAGAAGTGAAGACCTTAAAGTGTTTTTTTAATGAAAACAGGTAGAATGGATTGAATTCTAAATGACTGTACTTGTACCTGCTGTAGTGAGAGATTACTCAGCAGCAGATCAGCAATAAGTGCAATCTGCACACCCAACTCTTAAAAGCACGTCACTTTCTGTTACTTGCCCCACTCAAGACACAATGCTGAAATTAGGAAATGACCAGGGATCCAATAAATATGATTTTGTGTGTGTGTAAAAATATATATATTTCATTCATTCACATGCAAGGTCATGAACAGTAATAAAGGCCACCATGCACATTTATAATGATATACAATGATTATTTCCCCACTATACCCATAAGGAGGATAAACGAGAAACAAGTTTAGGGGGGGATTTAGAGGAGACTGCCACGGTGGAGGAAAGTGGAGAGATACTCTGGTACTATGATAGATTACTTCTAGCCCAAAGCACTTTGTATCAATGAGGTATCATTCGGTTACTGCTCCCTCGCGGGTGAAGGAGACTGTGCAGCATTCAGAGCAATGTCGTGGGTACAAGTAAGTGCTCTCAGAAGCTGGCACTAATGACTGGATTGTTAATGTGACATATCCCTGCTTAGTTTCTCTGCCAGTTTGTAGAAATTACAGGGCAGCCTCTGTAGCAGCTACAAAATTGCTAGTTTGACATGGCCTTTAGGGAAGCTATTCATGGCCCAGTGGTTGCAATAGCTGCAACAGATTTCAGCATGACTTGCAACTATCAGAAGACTATCAGGCCATGTAGGATGGAGGAGGGGTTACTGCGGGGGAGGAGAGACGAAAAATAGAGAAAGTGTAGTATTATCTGAGCCCGATGAGCTTTCTTTTGGATATAATGTATACAGGTGAAACTCAAATAATTAGAATATCGTGCAAAGTTCATTTATTTCACTAATGCAACTTAAAAGGTGAAACTAATATATGAGACTCATTACATGCAAAGCAAGATAATTCAAGCCGTGATTTGTCATAATTGTGATGATTATGGCTTACAGCTCATGAAAACCCCAAGAACCCCAAATTCACAACCTCAAAAAAGTAGATTATTACATGCAATCAATAAAACAAGGATTGTACATAGAACAATATCGGACCTCTGAAAAGTACAAGCATGCATATGTACAGGGCCGGCCTTAGGTCTTTAGGCGCCTTGTGCGAGAAAGCTTTACAGCGCCCCTCAGTGACCACACCCCTAGTAACTACACCCATTTATTACCCATATTTTTGGTAAAATATAAAAAGCGGGGTCACGTCGGGTAAATAGACACCAAACATGTCATGCTTTAAAATTGCGCGCACCCGCGAAATCGAAAAAAACTACCATGCCCAAAATTGACCATAGGTGACGCTTTAAAAGCTTTTACCGCTCATCAGTTTAGTGTTATCAGTGATTGATAGCCCTACAATTATTGCTCTCATTCCGACGGCGATATGTAACTTGTGCGGCGTAATGGGCGAAATCGTCGTTTTCACACGTATGAGCACCCGACGCCTGTTTGCATGCGTGTATGTATGGGGGGGACTTTAAAAAAATGTTTTATTCTTTTTTATTTGTAACTTTAAATTTTTTGGGGGGAAACCTAATTTTTTTTTCCTTTTTTTTTTCCACTTAACTTTATTGCTATCACATAGGGGGGTTTTCTAACCCCCTTATGTGATAGCAAAATATGTGACCGGTCCTCTTTATGGAGACATCAGGGGTCTCCAAGACCCCTGTCACCTAGGACCCCCCTGAAGAAGCTGATGAAGCACAGATCTGCTTCATCAGCTTCTCTCCAGCATCTGAAGCTGGAGAGTGACACAAGAATGCGGACGTGATGTAATATACATCAACAGCGGTGAGGGGGAGAGAAGCCGCCCCCAGGACGAGCTGTGTCGGCCGCACGGCGCCCTTGTTGCCATGGCGCCCTGTGCGGCCGCACTGCTCGCACACCCCTAAGGCCGGCCCTGCATATGTACTCAGTACTTGGTTTGGGCCCCTTTTGCAGCACTTACTGCAATTACTTTTGCACGATATTCTAATTATTCGAGTTTCACCTGTATATAGAAATAGATCAAAATACTCTCTTCTGTTGTGCTGTAGATTTTCCATGTGGGATCTCCAGCAACCTTGGAAATAGGCTTGTGGGGAATGTGTCTGTCCCCACACAGAAAGTGGTACTCAATGCTCTTTAGGAATGTTCTTTGGGTGACCCTGGGCTGGGCAGGACTGCTCATGGACCTAATGTTGTCTGGAGTAGTAGTAATGGTTTTTCCCCAAAAAACTTTTTCTCATGAAAGAGATGAGCAGAGGCGCCTTGTAAAAAAGCATGGCTGTGGCTTCATAGGGTTTTCTCACCCTATGAAACCACAGCCATGCTTCCTCGCCAGGCACCTCTGCTCATCTCTTTAAGGCCAAAAACTTTTTTGGGCCGAAACCATTCCCACTACTCCATGCCATGTAAAAGTTCACTAGGGCCAGCACGACAAGATGTTAAAAAGTTCTTATTACCAGGAAATTTACAATGTGTTCTTTAAGGAGGTAGAAGAAAAAAAAAGTGTTGACTGTGTGTGCCATATGCAACCACCCACTGAGTTAGTGGCGATAATCTGATGCTTCGTCGATTTGAGAGAGGATGTGCAAATATTTCACTTCCCTTCACTCATGATGAGACACAGCGAGATGGTTAAACTGGCCTCTCAACAAGTTTTCTTTTTCACATACCAATTACTAGAGCAAATTCTAATTTAGTGTGTACGTCTTCGACAAACATGCATTAATTGGGGCACACCTGTCTCTAAACAGCTCATAGAATCCCTGTAGTAGCTAGTCACAAAAAAATGATTACCTGTAGCACGGTTTAGAAATGATCACAATGAATTTTGAGACAGAGTCATTATAAAATCTTACTTCGTCATCTTAAAGAGTAACAAGCACTTTTCTTTTATCCCAAAATAATAATAGACACAAGAACATAAGTATAGCCATCAAGGACCATGTCGCTCCTGATGAGCTCAGCATTACCTTTATCCATCAACAACAGTTGTTTCCGATTGGTTTTATATTGTAATAAAGGGGTTATAAAAAAAAAAAAAAAGAACATGTCGAATATATAGCGGGCAAGCAAAACATGTATTATACACTGAGTGGCCAGATTATTATGATGACCACCCCATCAGTACTTAGTTGGGCCGCCTCGTGACTCCACAAGATGTTGAAAGGTGATGCGAGGAATCTGATACTGCACTGTTGCCCTTCTGTTGTCTTGTACCAGTCTTGCCACTCTCCGTTCTGCCCTAACATTGACTAGTCGCTGACGGCCACAATTCACATGTTCAGACCCAGCTTTTCGTCTGACAGTCCAGTCTTTAAACACTTTAACAGCATCTCTTGAACATTTAATAAATTCTGCTGTTTTGCTGATACTCGCTCCATGGCTTGAGCGCCAACAATCATCCCACGTTCAAAGGCTGTTAAATCGCGTTGTTTACCCATATTTCTCCACAGTTTTCCTGGATCTGAAAATGCATGTTGCAGAGTGGACTCAAGCTCCTTCTGCATAGGATAATTTTTCTGGGTCAATGGCCAGGCACCTGTACTATATGAAATCATCATGATCTCTTCTTTCTTTGGGAAACGAATATAATGTTAACAAACAAGGAGTAAACTCTGTAATTCTTCTATTGATATAGAGAGTGTGATGTCCTAAATATGCAGTACAGTCACACTTCATTATTAAAGAAATCTTTTGCCCTGATTAAGGTAGCATGTAAAACTTTGCACCGTATATGTAAAGCCAATATTTGAGGTTTGAGATACAAGATAACGATGCAAAAGTTCCCAATATAGTGTCTAGTACAGTATTGAAACCAAAGTAACAGAAGCAAAGATATGCATGGCTGCCTTTATGGACCTAAGCACCATTCAAAGACTAATTTCACTGCAAGGACAGAATTTGTAAGTCCATGGTCTACACTGACCGAAAAACAGCTATTCACATTTAGGAGGTCTTGCTCAATGAAACATTTTATTAGCCAAGCACAATGCAAAAACACCTACATACAGTGATTAAGAGAACTTGGTTTTCTTAAAAATTAAAACCACCCATCCCTTAGGTAGGTCTTGTGTCACTGGTTGGGAAGTAGGTGGGAATTTTTTATGACTTCCCATCACCAAAAATGATGTAGCTTGTAACTACGACATGTGGATGATTTAACAGTTTAATTTGAAGCTGAACTACTAGTAAATATTACTGCAACCCTGATCTTATACTATATTTGCTCAGCCAAGCACTCCCTGTAAAAGAACACAGTATATACAGTACTTACCTCAACTGCATCACCTGAAAATTCTGCACTCAGAAAAAATGGTCCCCCGAAGATCCATAGGGAACCCACATTTCTAGGACTGCCGATCTCCTGGATCCCATGCTCTGGTTTATCCTGCTGACCTCCACATCATATAGTAGAACACAGATGTCAGCAGAAGGAACCAGTGAGAGCAGCAGAGGTCACAGGGAAATCAACAGCTCTGAAAGTGTTGGTTTAAGAGGATAATTTCTTCTGAATGGAGCGATGTTGGTCGGCACGGGTGGCAGCAGACATTAATATATACGGTTATGCTCAACATGGAGAACTTGGCTGAGTTAATTTTGTAAAGCAACAGGGTCACTTTATTCAAAACATACTTACAATATAATACCTAATAGAGTGGCTGTATTCATGTTACATTCACTTTGAGGCTGTTAGGGCTCCACTGCATTAGTCAGTTTAAAACTGTGAACAAAAATGCTCACAGGAGGGGAAAGCTCAGGAAAGACCTTATCAGTGTTCTGCTGCTCCTTCATTGTCCAAAAAGCATGTTGTGGGAGGGGTGACGAAAGAAAACCTGTCATGAGGGAATCATAGAAAGCATGGCTACCAATGGCATCCTCTAAGACATAGTCGGGGTATTTTATAGAAGGCAGCCAGCACTTGCCCCTGTACTTCTATAATGTCAGGGTCATATAAAGTGGAACTGAACTATACTCAGTACCCTGAAAATTTACCTTTTGTCTGCGATTCTTTCTGAATTAAAAAACAATGCACAACCTGGTCTGTGAGTGTGTCTAGGAACCCCTGTGTCTACAGCCTCATAACTGTATATCTGCAGTGTAAGATCTTAGGCACTACCGGCCCTAACTGCTAGTCTTAGCAGATTTGGAGTAAGATTTGGCATCACTACTGTGCTGCTCACTGTTTTCTTTGCTGGAGACTCTGGCCTCTAATAAAATGGCCGACTTCACACAGAGACACAGTTCAGGACAAGACATGGTAAGTCAGACAGAGAAAGATTTGCTGCAGAGAGACCACAGGAAATACTGCTGACTAGTCCTTTGGCACCTGCCATTTGGGGCACAACTTTCAGAGTTTAGTTGCTTTTCAAGACAGCAAAATGTTAGCAGTAATGTTTTCATGTAACCACCTGTTGTATGAATTGGTACCAAATAAGGCCAAAATACACTTTTATTTGAAATCAGCTATATACATTCCAGGCTCATCAAAACAAATTGTGTTCAATGTCTTACAGTTCATTTCCTTTCTACAGCCACAGCCTGAGTAGAATTCCTGTCCCCTGTCAGCAGTTGCTGAGTGGGACCCTTGCTCTTTTTGTGGAAGCAGTGGTCTCATTGCCATGGTCTGACATTCGGTCCTTTTGAGTCAGACCTATAACCCTGCAATAAGCAAAGTTCAACTCCTGCTGATTGCAGAACTCTAGCTCGGACTCAGCAAGGGGTGTGTCGGGCCTCTGTAGAGGGATTACTTATTCCCCACAGAGAGCTAGACTCCCATTCTGCAGCATGCTGGCAGGGGACAGACTTTTCTACTTAGGCTGTGGTTAATGTTTAATGAATACAAACTGCAAGACTGTGCATACCTTTTATTTTGATGCACCTGGAAAGTATCACACTAATTTAAAATTAAAGTTTAATTGGTCCTTCAACAAGTTGCTGGAGACTATGCGGTGACATTGGATCTCTAGCCCATATTTTTTGGCATTGTAAATCGTTATGCTCCTTTTGGAACAAAGTATTCAAACTCATTTCCCAATTCACATCCACCCCTATTTCACCTATCTCACTAGCATTGCTTCATATCGACCTGAACTCCCATGTTCCAGAGTTATCGTATCCCATATTCTCTATGCAGCAGTCTTTAATCTCAAGATAATGGCTCTCCCCCTCGCCTCCTAACTTCTCAGACGTGATCCACATGACCAAATCTACAATGCTCATACGAACGTGTGTGTATATATATATATATAAAAAAAAAAAAAAAAATCACACTTTCCATCGATTTTATAGGCAATGATGCAAATGGCTTACAAGCTCATACTACACACGGTGGCCATACATATTCACTAGAGTTTTGGGTGTTTTTTTTGTTTTGTATTTGTGTTGTTTAGTTTTGATACAGGTGTTACTAGACTCGTTATACCATCTACACTTTGACCTCCTCTCCACACCACATATAGGACTTGGTCACAAGTACATGATGATCCTTATGTATGTACCAACTGAAAGTTCTTTATTTGTATCTACTTCATTCTCATGTATCACGGCTGTTTTAACTTCCTTATGTTGTAAAAAAACAAAACATTTTTCAATAAAAGAAATATTGTTGAAAAAAAAAAACAAAGTTTAATTGGTCCTTAACATTATTTTAGTGGTAACCGATTGAACTGTTCGCATGGAGGATGCTTGTAACTATAAGGACTCATTCATACCACTGAGGTGCATTCCCACATATGCATTAATGTGCATTGCATTAAAGCATCCCATTCATTTCACTGGGCTGCCCAACACATGAAAATGCACCAAAACAATGTGCATGTAACATTTCTGGCAGTGCACCACAACACGCATCCATCTGGAAGGTGTGTTGGGGTGCCATTCAGAATGAATTTAGCCATGGGTTACCCCATGCAAAAGTGTGAATGGGCCCTGAGTGATTTAGGATGTTTATGTGGAGCTTAGAACTAACATTTCGGGTCTATGCACACCAACTGTGTTTACTCAAGTGCCCCTGCTCAATATAAAGGGATCAGCTTTAAAACTAGGACAAAAATTATATGAAAGTACTGATAAGAACAAAGATAGTTTATACAAAATATTCTGCTTGGAACACCATGGACATCTACAAGCTATGTATGCAAAATCCTATCTTAGGTCAGCAAAAGAAGATTTTGCGCATAGAACATATTGGACATGTGCAGGATGTGTATGGAATGTGTTTATGTAAAATCTCAGCTTAGATCAGCAAACAACATTATAAGTCAAAAGATGTATAATGCATTGGCTCATTTGTATGTTAAAGTAGTCCAGAGGCACCCAGTGAATTAGCTGACTTGACCTAATCCAACTGGTCACTAGATCTGTACGGCATGAAATGGTTGGCACTATCTTCTGTTAAAATGACTTTAATTTATTCATATCAAGCTGTGTGAGATGACAGTTAGGCTTGAATAGGTTAGAGTTCCCAATGCGTCACCAATGCTGTATACTTGCGTTTGTGACCATGGTTATGAATTTTAAAATAACTAAAAAAAAAGCTTTCAATAACGAAGATGGTGCTGGCCATTTAATGCTGCTGCTCATTTGTAAATAATACCTAAAAGAAGAGCAGAATGTATTTTAAGGTTTTCCAAAGATTCAAGACTATGACATGCTTTCATTACATGCTGCCTGTGGATCTACCCATTCTGATGGATGACTGTTATTCTATATACTGTATCAATAAAATACAAATACCGTGTGACTTTCTCTAGAGGAACTACTAGTGAAGCTAATTATTACTTTTGTTTGCCTTTATATTTTCAACATGCCCAGCTGGGATGACACCATTTCAGCTCCCAAGGATGAAAGATCTGATATACAGAGGGTCTTTGATGTAATGAAAGATTTTCCATATTTCTGTTAGTGTAAGAGGTCAGAACTTCCTGCTTTCTATGGATACACATCACATCTGTGACACTAACTGAAGCCAAAGCAGAATAACCAATGTAACAGGTCACTGCAATAAGCTTACCTCCCAACTTTCTGAGAGAAGGAAGGATGCCTTTTTAGTACAGTGTGTAGGCAAAGGATACGCCATACCTCTAGCTACAGGAATTAAAAATAAATAAATGTTTCTTGCAGTTTTATTATTTATACATGGATTAGGGGTTTAAGGGTTAAAATTTCTTTTAGCTTCTATTTCTTTGAAATGTAAGGAGGGGCTGTGAGGGACAGACCACTGTGAAAAAGCTAAGAAAAATCTGGAATCAGCCATCTTGCCGG